ATTTGTGCCTCATCACAAAGCCCTGTTAACGACCAAGTGTCAACAGTAACTGCCTTTCAGCGAGGCTTACCGTACGTTTGATATGAAAATTAAGTCTGCATTTACCGACGTTGGATTATGGGCTCGAGCTGGGCCATCAAGACCACCATTATTGCAGTGCTGAGCCGCTTTTAAACGTCACTGTAAATCACCCAATAAACGGCATTAATGCGCCATATTGTGATGGTGTTGGTAACTGCAAGTCCCTAATACCCACTGCACTGTTGCCAAAAAGACCAACCAATTGATGACCTCAATAGTGGAAAAATTTGCTAGCAATACGTACTTGCATGATTGTTTTCCTTGGCGAGCGATGCGTCCAAACATCCCCTTACCATGCATCGGCAGAATACAATAATGCAGCAGTGCAGCGTTATGCTGCATGTGATCCCTCTGCCGGAGGTCAGTCTCACACTCACCCCGATCCCTCTGCCGGAGGTCAGTCTCACACTCACCCCGATCCCTCTGCCGGAGGTCAGTCTCACACTCACCCCGATCCCTCTGCCGGAGGTCAGTCTCACACCCCGCCCGATCCGTCTGCCGTGAGGTCAGTCTCACACTCCGCCCGGTCCCTCTGCCGGAGGTCAGTCTCACATTCCGCCCGATCCCTCTGCCGGGGGTCAGTCTCACACTCCGCTCGATCCTCCTGCCGGGGGTCAGTCTCACACCCCATTTGATCCCTCTGCCGGAGGGTCAGTCTCACCCGTGCGACGATCCGCACCAGGCAACGGCGGCGACGGCCAATAATTGGCCGAGAAAACCCTGCCCGGTGACCGGATATTAAAGCCTATATTACCCGCAGGGCCAGAACAAGTGCTGGCGCACGTCGGCTCAAAATCAAACATTTATGGAGCGCAGCTGGGCCAATTGATATTAATTTCTCGTCGGACCGATCCGGAAGGAACGCCGCGGTTTTGCAGCAATATCCGCGGCCCGACGGCCTGTCAGCGGTTGCTAACTGCGGCCGGGAAGGTCCGATATATTCGGTGCTGTACCAGCGAAGTGGACGCACCGGGCAGAGGGAACCCGCTATGTGCCTGCCCCAAAATGTCATACACGGATGGGAGGTGAGGTGGGATAGAATCGACGGGATATGACGACGGAAGTGTTGGAAAAGTAGCATCTTTGCGCCCTACATATGTGATGGCTGAGGACATTGTAAAACTACAGCAACCCAGGTCACTTGCTCGATCCGGATCAATGTAGTTTTTACCAGCTTTTCTGGTTGTTGTGCATGACGAACTCGTTTCAGGCAAAATTCAAACCGATTGAAGATGGCTCCTTGCTATTGAGAAAACATTCATAAGTTGCAATCAAATAAAACTGCGGGTTTGAAGACCGTCCCCGAAGCTGTAAACAAGATGTTTTGCTGCATCGGTTTGAAAATGATCCAAACAACGCAGAGGCAGCGCTTACCGTTCCGGGAAGACCACGACAAACATCTCACAGTTGGCAAGGTGCACCACCATTGATTACTAATGTATAGATCATACCACACCACGTCAACAGGGATATCAGAAACACAGACTTGGTGAGAACGGTGCATGTTTGGTATAGCCTGCTTGCTAAAAAAACAACTGCCATCGCGCCAATACATCACGGAAGGGAAAAGTGAGGCTGAATGGAATGAAGCCTGCACTGGGGAGTTCGAACCTTTGTTTGCGGAGAGCTTCTGTGCCAGCCAGAAGAAACACCGGCAAACAAACACACACAAAGTCGCACACAAAGCCCAGAAAATAGCAAACGCTGTTAGCAACGGGAGTTCGCTTGGCAATTTTGCCCAACAGCTGGAAAGTGGTAAATGTGGAAACGAAAAGCAGGCTGTCCAACAAATATTCCTGTCGGCCACGAACTTCGACTTATAAGCACAGGAAGCCCACACCAAATACCAAGCCGGGTCAACAGGCACATGATGGAATTACAAAATTGAACGCTGATCCTAATTAAATAGGTTGTGCGATTACCAGGATGTTTTGTGACGACCAGTGTTAAAAAAGACCGTTAAATGGACGGGCGACGCAATTTGTGGGCTAGAAAACGTGCTGAAAATCGTAAGCCACTTTAGTCAGGGCCCATTTCCACAGTAAGCGTGATAACACACTTTGTTACTTGGTGAGTTCAGTAATCTCCAGAAACCCCGAGATGACGAGACGTGCACACAATTGGACCTGGCCCCGAGTGTACTTATATTTACCTTCACTGTGTGCAGGACACGGTGAGCTTCGAAAACCAAGGTGACTTATTGTAATTAATCAGACGCTGCAGGCAACACATGAGCCCCGTGTCGAGACGTAGGCTCGGAGGTCAGCAGCTCTCCAGCACTCGAGCGCCCAGAGCACCAACAAGCCACCTGCGCAGACGGCCGGAGCGCGCCAGCACCGCACTGCCAGGCCCATAGCTCACCGAAGACGACGATCCCGAGGTCGGGCGGTGAGCGGAGGGCCGACGCCGTTGCTGGCCTGGCAGGCGTAGAGGCCCTGGTGGCAGCCGTTGCCGACGCGATCGCCAGGCTGCCGTTCGGGAGCACGCTCACACCCTCCAGAGTCTCGGCGGCTGCCGTGCGCGCCGCTCCCCACTGCGGGCAGGCGGGGTCAGCGTCTGGGCGGCCAGGGCGCCGGCACACAGCCGGGCTCTGTCAGAAGTGGCCGGGGCACAACAAGAGCGGAGTCAGGGACATGCGGAGCCGGGGCCAGCCAAAGTCAGGCTTCATCGGCCACGAGTAAGCCCCAACAGAAGCCACGGTCAATGCCAACAGAGGTTAGTGTCAGCTGAAGTCAGGGCACCGGTCAAGGGTGAAAGAGTCTCTACCAGCAGTCACGGTGCTCGAGTTCCCTGTCGCGGGCCATCGCCACGGCCGGTGACGCCGACGCATCGACCCACTGTGGCAAGAGACTGCTGAGGAGCTGCGTGTACCCGCTTTGGCCAGAGGCTGGTCAGGCACTGCGTGTGCCCGCTGTGACGAGAGACTGCGCTTTGGCAAGAGGCTGGTCAGGGACTGCGCGTGCCCGCTGTGGCGAGCTACAGGTCAGGGACTGAGTGTACCCGCCGTGGCGAGAGACAGGTCAGGGACTGCGTGTGCCCGCTGTGACGAGAGACCGCGCTTTGGCAAGAGGCTGGTCAGGCACTGCGTGTGCCCGCTGTGGCTAGAGGCTGGTCAGGGACTGCGTATGCCCGCTGTGGCTAGAGGCAGGTCAGGGACTGGGTGTGCCCGCTGTGACGAGAGACTGCGCTTTGGCAAGAGACTGGTCAAGCACTGCGTGTGCCTGCTGTGGCTAGAGGCTGGTCAGGGACTGCGTGTGCCCGCTGTGGCTAGAGGCTGGTCAGGGACTGCGTGTGCCCGCTGTGGCCAGAGGTTAGTCAGGCACTGCGTGTGCCCGCTGTGGCTAGAGGCTGCTCAGGGACTGCGTGTGCCCGCTGTGGCTAGAGGCTGGCCAGGGACTGCGTGCGCCCGCTGTGACTAGAGGCTGGTCAGGGACTGCGTGTGCCCGCTGTGACGAGAGACTGCGCTTTGGCAAGAGACTGGCCAAGCACTGCGTGTGCCGCTGTGCGACTGTGGCTGGTAGAGGCTGCCGCGGTCAGGGAGGCTGGTCGACTGCGTGTGCCCGCTGTGGCTAGAGGCTGGTCAGGGACTGCGTGTGCCCGCTGTGGCCAGAGGCTGGTCAGGGA